AAAACTTATTGAGAAAGTAGTGTTTTGAAATGTAAACGAACCCTTATTAGGTCTCTCACCTACACTCTACGCTGATCTTTATAGTTTTCCACCTCCTCAGCAAGAGTGGCAGCTATGCCACTAACTGCTTCCTCAAACTTGTCATTATTGTTACGTTGCATATTCCACTATACGCACACCTCACTCGACAGCTGCCAACGACGCACTGGCGCCTGTGGACTGTTATAACCAAATACTCTCCTCGTGTATAGGCTCTCAGCCGGCAAAACTGGACTTGCAACTAGTACTCGGAGCTAACACTATACATAAGCACCTTATTAGCGGTGTCGGCGTTAATTACGCAGTTAGACATGTTGCCGATTCTGAACATCGCAGAATAGTCACAGCTTGTTGCGGGACTCGAACAAGCAACTGAGTGCTCAAATTTGCTGTAGTTTATCGTCTGGCTACCCCGCCGATTTGACCAGAACTATAGCAGGTAGCTGAGATCAAATCCACAACTCACTGCTCCAATATCGGTACTCAGAACTGCAACTACTGGGCCAGCCTATTAACATCACCGATATTTCTTTCAGTAATGAATATTTATATAAATTATTACTTGACCATGCAGAAAATAATCATGTTTTAGATCCTATCAGAATCGCATCACGGTTCAAAGGCCGATCACTAGGACTGCAGTTGACAGTTGGTGCATCGTTATTTCGACCAATACCTACTTATTTCTCTGCAAAAAGTGCATCGCTATTAGGACAAAGACCCACTCATGTCCCAGAGTATCCACAAGACACGTCACCTCGCTGACGGTGAAGCAGTCGCTGAGGAGGCCCGAGGCGACGGTGGAGAGAAGCTGGGCCAGCACCGCGGGGCTCACGAGGATCGTCTCAGACTTCTGGTTGTATACGAACTCACNATAAATTAAATTATTAAATTAAACACATTAAATTTCCTTTAGTAAAAGTATCATAGTCAAGGTGCTTATACACGGGGCTTGTATTCGCTTCGAGTATTCGGTGAGAGTACTTGCACTGTGAATATTGTGATAATTTATAATTCGGATACGAGTAGCTGACGAGTAGCATTGGCACCCGAAGCAGTTCCAGTTGTTATGTGCGGTCTAGTCGGGCTGCGGCCGTCGTAGTGAATACACGTGTGCCGCTCTGTATCCTCTAATGTGATGAACTGTGTCTTGTCCCAAAGACAACGGTTCTATGACCGTCATGAGGTGTTCAGATGATATTGAACTGTTCTGATATCAATTCCAAATATACGATCCACTGTGGAATGTACATCACGATGAATATTACAACAAAAACGAATTGAGAAAGTAGTGTTACGAAAGTTAAACGAACCCTTATTAGGTCTCTCACCAACACTCTACGCTGATCTACAAAGTTTTCACCTCCTCAGCAAGAGTGGCAACCATGCCACCAACTGCTTCCTCAAACTTGTCATTATCTTACGTTGCATATTCCACCATACGCACACCTCACTTGACAGCTGCCAACGACGCATTGGCGCCTGTGGACTGTTATAACCAAATACTCTCCTCGTGTATAGGCTCTCAGCCGGTAAAACTGGACTCGGAGCGAATGCTATACATAAGCACCTTATTAGCGGTGTCAGCGTTAATTACGCAGTTAGACAAGCTGCCGATGATGAACATTGCAGAATATTCACAGCTTGTTGCGGGACTCGAACAAGCAACTGAGTGCTTAAATTTGCTGTGCTTTATCGTCTGGCTATCACGCCGATTTGACCAGAAATGTAGCAGGTAGCTGCATGAGATCGAACCCACAACTCACTGCGGACTGCGCCAATCTTGGTACTCTGGGCCTATACTTTCAAAAAAAAAAAGTTAAGAGATCGTAAGTTCATCAGCCAATCATTAACAGCCTTTCAAGCAAAATACACCAATTATAGACAAGAAAATAGAGCATAAGTACTTACGTTCACTTAGCGAGTTTTGAAAGTATGGCCATTGAACTGTAACTACTGGGCCACCCTATTAACATCACGGATATTTCCTTCAGTAATGAATAATTATTTAAATTGATAGTTGACCATGCAGAAAATACTCAAGTTTTAGATCCCATCAGAATCGCATCACGGTTCAAATGCCAAACACTAGGACTGTAGTTAACAGTTGGTGCATCGTTATTTGGGCCGAGACTAACTTATTTCTCTGCAAAAAGTGCATCGCTATTGGGACAAAGACCCACTCATATCCCTGAGTGTGCACCAGACACGTCACCTCGCTGACGGTATTAGGACAAAGACCCACTCATGCCAGCACCGCGGGGCTCACGAGGATCGTCTCAGACTTCTGGTTGTACACGAACTCACTGGCGCTCTCGTCTGCACCCAGTACAATATGTTATGTCATTTATATCTTCTATTGACTTGTTCCATATTTATGATATTATATGATTTGTATCTTCTATTTATAAATTTCATATTAATGATATTATATGATTTATAAGTTCTATTTATTTATTCGTATTTATGATTTTATATCATTTATACACTTTAAATTATTTATTTATTCCATATATATGGAAACTAAAGATATTATTTAATTAAATGGAAGAAAAGTTATGCAATAGCAGACAATGTGTTATATACACGAACTCGTCTGTGCTGTCGTCTGCACGCCATGCAATATATTATATGATTTACATCTTTTATTTATTCATTCTTTCTTAATGATATTGCCGGTATATCATTTATATCCTTTATTTATTTATTCCATATTTATGAAAACTTAACATTTTATTTCATTAATAAAATAGAAGTCATGCGATAGAAAAATATGTGTTATGTACGTGAGTTTATTCATGAAAAGATATTTAAAATGATTGAAATGAGAGATATAGAGAAAATTTATGCAATAGCCAACAACGTATTATTGATGATATGCAAGAAAAAAAATTAAATGATTGAAATGAGAGAGAGACGTCTTTCAATAACAAATTATGTATCATATGTTTAATGTTATGAAAAGAACATTTTAAAAAGAATGAAATGATAGGGAAGTTATACAATAGCAAACAATTTATTGTATTATAAATGATATGCAAGAAAGAAAATTTAAATGAATGAAATGAGAGAACAGTCTTACATTAGCAAATTATTTATTATATGTTTAATCTTATGAAAACAACATTTTTAAAATGAATGAAATTATTGAGAAGTTATGCAATGCAGTAACGCCAATGCCACTTGAGACGCCACAGCATTCATGTCGCTGATTTTTACTGGAAACAATTAATTTTATGAACAAAACTGAACCACAACTTTCTAGCGAGTACGAAACAGCTTCGTAGTTCTTACGTGAGACTCGAACCCTACAAATCATAGCTCTGACCAGTATATTTTACAGTTTTTGTTGACGAGCCCGAGTTAAGTACAGTATCTGCTGAGCTGCGATTTACGTGTCAATCCATAATTTTTAATTGAGTCGACAAAAATTACTCCGGGCAGGTCTTCTAAATCATTTAATATCACTCAGCGTATCGCAACCAAAACTCCGTGCATTGAATAACATCGTTGAGTGTTCAACGAACATTATATTATAATTTATATTAATTAAATAAAGTAGCGCCTCCACCTCTACACTGGCTGTGCCATCCACGGCTTACAGGCCAGTCTGTAGGGGCGGCAAACATTTAATATCATGATTTTATATTAAATAAAGTAGCGTCTACACCTCCACACTCGTTGTGCTGTCCACGCCCTCCATACCCGTCTGTAGGGGCGGCAAACATTTAATATTATAATTTCATATTAATTAAATACAGTATCGCCTCTTATACCTCTACACTCGCTGTGCAGTCCATTCCCTCAATACCAGTCTGTAGGGGCGGCAAACATTTAATATCATGATTTTATATTAAATAAAGTAGCGTCTACACCTCCACACTGGCCGTGCTGTCCACGCCCTCCATGCTCGTCTGTAATGGTGGCATATTAATTCGCAAGCAAACGCGGCATGTATAAGCAAGAAATGTATAAACTATTAGCAAACAAGCACTACACTCAGGCAAATGGATGGGCCATATTGTACAAATAGTAACACACTTTATCCATGTAGCACAGATACGTCTTTTTCTAGGCCAAACTGGGAGAGAATCAACCTCACAATGGCGAGAAATGCATCGCTAATCGAAAAAAGTCTCACTAACTTTTTTAGCAGTAAAGTTAATCACTTTACTGCTAAAGTTTATCACTTTACATAAAGTTAATCACCTTACTGCTTAGGTTAATCACTACTCCAGATCTGATAAATCATCAAAGTTGAAGAGTTTACCGCAGAGCTCTGAGTGCCCATGTTGAGAGAGAGCGTCTCCACGAAATGCTTGGTGTAGAGCGTGGAGAAGTGAAAAAGTGATTGTAGTAAAGTGATTAACATCTGATAAATCATAAAAAGTTAAGGAGTTTACCGCAGCACTCTGCGCGCCCATCTTGATGGAGAGCGTCTCCAGGAAATGCTTGGTGTAGAGCGTGGAGAAGTGAAAAAGTGATCGTAGTAAAGTGGTTAACATATAATAAATCATTAAAAGTTAAGGAGTTTACCGCAGAGCTCTGCGCGCCCATCTTGAGAGAGAGCGTCTCCACGAAGTGCTTGGTGTAGAGCGTGGAGAAGGCGCTCCTGTAGAGGTCGAAGGCGCTGCACTTGGTCTGTCTCTTATACACATCTAGACACAAGACACGTCACCTCGCTGACGGTATTAGGACAAAGACCCACTCATGTCCCAGACACAAGACACGTCACCTCGCTGACGGTATTAGGACAAAGACCCACTCATGTCCCAGACACAAGACACGTCACCTCGCTGACGGTATTAGGACAAAGACCCACTCATGTCCCAGACACAAGACACGTCACCTCGCTGACGGTATTAGGACAAAGACCCACTCATGTCCCAGACACANGCTCCATGATCATATCTTACTTTGAGATTAATAAGACGACATTTGAGCTCCATAATCATATCTTACTTTGAGATTAATAAGACGACATTTGAGCTCCTCGAAATTATCTTCGTTGACCGCCGTCGGGGGCTCCGCAGACGGCACAGTTTCCTCCTGCACCTCTTCTAGGATCACGGATGATGAATCCTTCGCTCCACCATCAGTAGGATCTAAGAAAAGCTGCCGCGATACTGCAGTTTGACCAGCAACATTGGGCGATTCAGGGGCCACGTCCGCCGTTTTCTTCTTTTTACTTTTAATGCCGCTCATTTTACTTAAGGTTTTCCTAATGCTCCTTCTCAGGCTCTTAGGACGTCGTTGAGGATCACAGCTCTCGACTGATGATGCCGACAAATACGATCGTGAGAAAGGATTCTTCTCGTCGTTAATTTCGTCGGTATCTGAGAATGGGTTGGTGGAGTCGAAGGATTCATCCTCCACCGATCCTACGGTCTGTATGGTCGTGTTGAGTCGGTAGGACTTGAGTGGAGGTTCAGAGGATATGATGAGTTCCTCTTTGCTGACAACCACAGGAGAAGCCGTAGGATCTGTTCGGTGCAGCGTAGTTTTTTTACCAACACTTGCGCGTATTTTGCTGATACGCAACAATGTCGTGGCGTCGCTTTTCTTAACTCTTAAGCTACGGAACTTTAGGAAAGGGGAGGCACTTGACGACTTAATCTTTAGGTCTTCCTCCGACGTGGCGTTCTTGACGGGAGTCGAGGTCTGGGGGACAGGGTGGATGAAAACTACAGGAGGTTTTACCTCCTCTAAATCCTTCAGGTTATCCTGATTTTTGCTTTTGTTTTTGATTTTCCTGAAGCTTTTGCGTATGCCTTTTAATCCTCTTTGAAGAGTGGCTGTCCGTTTATCCACGGGGCTGGGGGGAGGTGTATGGGGTTCAGCTTTACCCCCAGACGATAGTTTAACATCAACACCATCACCACCTTCATTACCACCTCCACCATCACCACCATGACCCGCGGCTCCAACAGCAGAAGGTGAAGGAATTCTGAAAAGTTGACAAGAATATACCATGTTATCGTGATGAACAGAAACATCACATTATCCAGCACCAATAGATAACATTACGTTATAAATCACCAATAGATAACATCACATTATACGTCACCAATAGAAAACATCATGTCACACATCACCAATAGATAACATCACATTATACATCACCAATAGATAACATTGGATAGAACCTAACCCCTGATAACGCACGGTAACTAATTCATTCATAATGCATTTAATCGCTGAATATTACCGTCGGCTGAAGGCTAATAAGTACCTACACTAAATATACCGATAACAAAATATGTTCGATTCAAAATAAAACATCAGAAAAGACAGTATAGCATTACCATGTAACACTGTCTGAAACACTATGACTCACTCGACGAACACCATGACCCACTTAAGAACTACCATGACTCACTTAAGAACTACCATGACTCACTTAAGAACTACCATGACTCACTTAAGAACTACCATGACCCACTTAAGAACTACCATGACCCACTTAAGAACTACCAT